CCCGTAAATACTTCAATACTTGCTTCATACTAGGTAACAGAGATATACTTACGGGTCTTGTGTGTTTCTTGCCCACACAAGAATTTCCAAAAAGTCTTGTTTCGTAAAGCTCGACTGTCAACACAGGTGTGCGCCGACGATTGCATACAAAGGTCAAGTTCTGGCCTACGAATTCCGTAGAATGATTATGTGACGGAGATGGAGCATGGGCTTGTACTACTATACCACATCGTGGTATTGCCATCGCTAAGGTATATTATTAGACGGGCCGACTACCTTCGAATTCGACCGTCTTGCCTTTTATTCTACAGGGCCTTTTCCCAAAGGTCGTCAGCTTTAGCTAACTTTTAGATAGTTCATTTTTACATTTGCCTAACATTGGATCTACTCCTTTCTTGTCGTGTTCTTCTTGGCCAAGCCGAGGGTATCCGGTCCTGAAGTTCGAACCTCCATGGACCTCCTTAAGTTTGTGCGTCTAACCTCTACGACCGTCACAAAATGGTGGAGAAGCAGGGTAACTCTCGTGTCAAACCCAGAAATCCAGCACGCCTAGATGAGACAAGGCCTCTCAATCCACCTCCCGTCCCAGATAACACGGATGTCGCCTCAGCCGACGAAAGCAAGTCAGATGTGTCCATACTATCTGAGAGCAACGACGACGAGACACTGACCCAATCTGTTGTCCCATGCACCCCAACAAATCCGAATGCGCACTTTGACTCGAAGGACTCGTACTTCGCGTCAATTCTTACGTCTAGGATGTTATCGCTGCTGGCCTCTGGCGTGCAGTCTGCGAACGAAACAATTCATCACTTAGCTCAAGTGTCTACCCACACCCATGGTGTGTGATGCGTGATGGAATCAACACATGTGGTAACGACTGACACCTTAGCTTAACGCTGAAGTCCAGCTGACAATGGCGAGACAGACGAGCTTCTCCCCAAAAGTACGAAACCAGTTTAGTCCTGGAAAAGGCAAGATCCCGCTTTGACTCTGCGTTGCCGACTCGTCTGGCCCTACCGGCTTCCGACTTCTTTCACGAGACTGCCGGAGTACAGAAAATGTGCACACTAAGACCAGGGAATCACAGGTAACATTTGTGGAAGTTTGTGATACAGGGGACTTTACTGCGACAGTAGGTCATATGTGCAGTTCATATGGATATGAAGGGAAATATTCCTCTATAGAAAACGCTGCTTGAGCATAGGATTGGGATCTTTCCTTGCTTTGGTTGCACCAGTACTAATAATAGTACACGTCAAGGTGTCGCTATTCATAGTGCACGACATTGCACCGAAATGACAGAAGGGGGTATCTACGAGAAACAACCCTTAATAAAGTCAGTACGTACAATCCTGATAAAGGTGG